CATGAGCCATCTTGCTTCAACATTCTTAAAAGGGCTCAGTCGCCAGGTATCTTCAGCTCTGGGTGACTTGGGGTGGGTATGCTGGTGAGGGAAGTTGAGTGGATTGGAATAGGATCAAGCCAAGGTGGATCTCCCATGTCAGTGAGATGTGTACTCTCCACCTCCAAAAACCTGCATCTATACCTGGGGAGATTCAGCACTTGGACACTATGCCAGAGAGGGAAGTGGTGACCAACTCATGTCAGCCGATGAAGAGAACTGCAACCCTGCCTAGCTTTCCAAGGAGAAATTTACCTCTTATCTTATCCCTTGTCTGCACCCATCCTCCCAGTACACAGATAGGGCCTACAAGAAAGACGAGAGGGAGGGAGGGCTGGAGCAAACCCCTCACCAGTCCAAACAGCCTGTAAGGCGGTGGGGGGGAGCAACTAATTTTGCATCATACACGGGACTGGAATTCTAAGTTAGGCTGGATAGAGATTTTCTATCTGAATATACACCTGATACTATTAAATCTGCCCAAGAGGTCCTTAGCGGGTAGAAAGGAGGATTTTGACTAGCACAGTTGTAGAGAATAGTTGCAAGGAATAAAATCAACTCACAAGGTTGTATTTGCACCACAAGTGAAGTTTCTTCCTTTAACCAGTTATATAGGAGGGAGAGAGAAAGACCATCATTTGACAACCTGTGTTAGGGCAAGACGAAGTCCCCCTCCTGCCAAAATCAGCTTTTATGGTCATTTCCCAACCATGTCAGCTTAGGCACTGTCATTATTCAGCCATAAAATGTAGCTGTGGAAATGGCAGACTCCAGGACTAAGGCAGTGACCACGCTGATAACACGATGAACACAGACTGAGTTTTCCTATGTTTGATTGATTCAGGGTTAGGGTGAGAATCTGATGCTGTTTCTTCAGTCTTGGCCTGCTCTCTCCTGACCTCATTCTGTTATCCGGTCATTTATGCAGTTGCTTAGCCGGTCAGTAAATCTTCCTTGAGTGCCTGTTCTGTGCTGGTTTGAAGGATAGGGATATGGCCATAAATGAGAGGCTCAGGGCCTCTCGTGGAGCCTGCATTCTCCATCCCTCCTCTCTTTCAGCGCTGAGGTTTTCAGCGCCCACCCCTCTCTGCTCGCTCCTTATTCCTGTGCATCTTCTCTGTTGTGGACACTAAATCAGTCTCCAGTTTTTCAGTTAGACTTGTTCAAACTCCTGGAGTTGCTCTCCGCTGCCACAGGCGAAGCCTCAGTTCCTTGCTGGGCCTGTTGTAGTGGACCCTCAGTGCTTTCTAGCCTTCCCTCTTGCTATAGCTGCCACACAGGAACCTTCGTCTTCACTTGGAGTGGTTAGCTCATTGGTCATCTAGAATGCCCTCCCCTCTCTCTCCATCCTTCCGGATTATGTTAAAGTCCAGCTCTAGCTTTCTCTCTGTCACAAAACGTTACCCCTGATCCCCGGGCCAGACAGTTGCCTTAGATTCCAACTCCTGTCGCTGTCACTGTGTCTACCTTTTGCTCAGCTCTTGCCCAGTCCTGGTGGAAGTCATCTGTGACCACTGGGTGCCATGTGCTTTCCCTTCCATTGTCAGTTCTAAGCTGAAGGCCGCAGGAACAGCTTCTTTTGATTCCACTTAACGCCTGGCCTTAGTAGATGTCCACAGAGTGTTGACTTTGCTTCATTTATTAACTTCTCTGCACCCAAAGACACTGATATTATCAAACAGCAAAAGAACCTTGTGTTAGGAAACAGGGTACTTTTCCAGTCCTACTTTTCACCTGTCCGTTGTGTTTCTTAAACATACATTGAAACTGAAGTGCCTTCCTTTATTGCTTTATCTACTTGAGAACTTTTAGGACCTGAAATGAATAGTTTTTCTTTAGTTGTGAAATGGAGTTCTCAGTCAAAGGGACAGAGGGCCGTATTTACTGTAGTTATAGCGATTTGTTTATGTAAGGGATGCTGTATCTTACCGCACACACACGCATAAAATGTGCAAGATAACTTACTGAATTTTTATTAATTGTAAAACCGCATCTCCTGCTTTAAGGGTCCAGCTTTTGCTGCATTATATGATAGGTCCTGTAAAAGAGGTGGAAATCCTAAGAAATTACACTTTAGATGGTAGATGAAATATTGCCACCTTCTGTTCATTCTGAGAAGTGCACATGGATGTTCAGGAGGTTATTTGTGTTGCTGCTTTGCTTTTAAGGAAGACTACCAATCAATTCTCCCAGATCAGAGATAATCAGCTATTTCATAATGTGTACATGGAGTCTTAATTATAGATTAAAATAATAATATTTTAATTTTTGTTTTTAAAAAATCGATTCCACATTCTAACTTTTGTAGACTATGTATTTTCTTTTTTTTTTTTTTTTTTTTTCTTTTTTTTAAATCTCTGCTTGGGATAGCCCTCGTGTCTTTGTGGGTAGAGGAGGAGAATGGTCAGTAACATGGGGTCTCACTCTGTCACCTAGGCTGGAGTTCAGTGGCACGATCACAGCTCACTGCAGCCTTGACCTCCCAGGCTCAAGCAGTCCTCCCACCTCTGCCTCCCAAGTAGCTGGGACTAGTCACATGCCACCACATCTGGCTAATTTTTTGTAGAAATGGGGTTTTGCCATGTTGCGCAGGCTGATCTTGAACTCCTGAGCTCAAGTGATCTGCCCACCTCCGCCTCCCAGAATGCTGGAATTCCAGGCATGAGCCACTGTGCCTGGCTGGTTTTTGTTTGTTATGGTTTTTAAAAAAGAGTATCTCTGTGGTATGTGGTGAATAGGCTTAACCTGAATTAGTCAAGATACAGCATAAATGTAAAGTTCATGCCACATAAGGATACTTGCAAGTATCCTATTAATTCTATTTATGATGCTTGTTATAAAAGATAAACCAACATCTTTGAAAAATTATACAAAGCAGTGATATTTTATAATAGTTTTGGAAGAACAATGTCTATAGGTAATTTTAGAAAAGTTTTCCCTACAAAATATTTATACTTTTTAAAGTGTGAACATAAGTTGTTTTGAAATGCATTATTTTAATATTTTTTCTTGATTAAGGCCAGACTCTTTATTCTCACAGCATGCCTGGGAGAAAGATGACGCCCTTTTGTAGATGGGAGCAGTGTCCTGAGGGGCTGATGTGCCCCAGCTGATGTCACATGAGCCAAGTCATGGATCAGGGCTACTATTGAAATGTGAGGTGTCTGCCAGCCTGGGCCCCTATGGCAACGGCTTGTCCTCTGCTGTTTTCACTTCTAATGCACTTCATTTCTATTCAATTACAAACTTCATATATACTCTCGGTATCAATGAAAGATTACGGGGGTGTCCAAAGTAGTACTGATGGCATTCCCCTGTCGCCCGCCATGCCGTCTTTCTGCTGTAATTGCTGCCAAATTGCTACCGTTTTCTATACATTTTAATCCTGCTTGATTAACATGCAAAAACTTAAAGACATATTTGTAAGTTGGTTTTATAAAAATGGATGACTGTATGAATATTACTCTGTAGCTTACTCTTTTCAGTTGTCATGGGCCAGTGCCAAGTCTATGCACAGAGGGTCCCTGACTTAATGGTTCGACCTGCATGATTTTCTGACTTTTTACAATGGTGCAAAAGCAATAGACATTCAGAAACTGTACTTCTCTTGTGATGCTGGGCAGCAGCAGTGGGTGCAGCTCCCAGTTTGCCACGCACTTTTGACTTACGGCATTTTCAACTTACACTGGGCTCATCATGACATAACCCCATCATAAGCCTCAGAGCTTCTATGTGTCTGCTGTGTGATCTGTGCCCTCCTTCTTGGTCACTGCTCGCAGGCCAGGGCATGATAAACCTTCGTGTATACTGCCATTGCCCTATTGAGATAGTCATGGGTTTTCAGCTTTTTTCAATAAATATTCTTGGGCATCTATTTTTCTGTGCTGGTACTTTTAATTTTGTGAGATGTTTATAAGATCTGTGTCAAAGAACATAAGTGTCTTTAACTTTAAACTTAGCTCTTTTGGCTTTTTAAAAAGTACTATGGTGCATTGTGCTTTCAAAAGCAGATATTTTTTTCCGGTGATGAGTTCCTAGCTTAGGTTCTCTGCCTGGGGCAGCCCTCCTGTCCTTGGTGGGTGCAGGAGAATGGTCAGTGAGTACTGTTTTCTAGGATGTGATGACCTGCTTAATAAAATAGCAAGAATGTTTACCCATTCTAGAAACCGATGTATTTCCCAGCTAAAGTAGGACTTGTCCCCTTCTTGATTTTAGCCACACAGGGCTAGGACAGTGTTTGCATTTAATACATTTCTTCTAAGACCACTATGACTTAACCTGGTTTGCACTTGGAGACCCCACCTTCCCGTATGCAAAATTATAATAATGAAAGTGATCAAAAAGCCCAACAGATCTCTAGATTTAAATAAGGTGGCTGGTGGAAATGTCTCTGGAGATGTGGTTGCATTCCTTCTCTTCATTTTATTCAGTAATTCCTGCTCAAGGTTTAATTGGGCATCTGAGGGATCTTGTGGGCCGATCAGAATGATGCAGCCATTCCTATTTGATAACATGTTTATTGTTCATATAATACGAGAGGATATAACAATGTATAGAGCCTTATTCTGACAGCTGTTTCTGCTGATATTCTTTTGCCAACCTACGGGTTATACGTGGTATTAAATTGGACTACCCGTGGTTCCATCACAGAATTCCACATTCAGTTTGGCATCTCTGACGGGGACTGCAAGAGACATCTCCAGAAGTGTTTATCAGTAGACTGCTTTCCAGCTAAGAAAATGTGACCAACACTGACAAATTCATGCTGTTGGAATATAAGCTCAGCAGGAGTGCCTGAAGCTATGTAGTTCAGTGCAAGGTTGCAGTGATTCAAATAAGCATATTACGTTTCCGCACATCATTCTGAATGCTTTGATTGGGTATCCATGAAATGTTTTGGTTGTTTCTTCATTGTTTCATCAATGTAATTGATGACTGTTCTGTTTTGCTGACCACTGCAGCTTAATGCAATGGCAAATCGCGCTGCAGGGAAAGGCTATGAGAATGAAGACAATTATTCCAATATCAAGTTTCAGTTTATCGGGATAGAGAACATCCATGTCATGAGGAACAGTCTGCAGAAAATGCTGGAAGGTAAACCATTTCCTTATGCACAGCATTAAAATGCAGTTAAGTATTTTGATGCCAAAAGGGAATAAGATAGTCTTGATTTTTAAATGTTTTTTTTTTTTTAACAAGGTGTGATAATTTGGGAAGAATACCATGTTACAATGGCTTCTTAAACACTGAAGAACCTTTCTCTTATTTTGTAAGCATCACTGTGAGGTGGCTTTGTCATTTGGTGGTTAGCAGTCAGGACTCTACAATGATACTTAACATCTAAGGTCAAAGTGCACAGGGATGTTTTTGTTTCTTCTTCATAATGTTAGTTTGATCCACATTCAAGGCTATTTAGGAATAAGATAATCCTACATTTAAAGCAATAACCTTGTATGGAGATCAGGTTCAAAAACTGTATCCTTGCTGAATGGCCATCCGAAGGGACCCTCATTTCTAAACAGCAGCCACCACAATACACATGCATGTAACCTCCTGATACCTCCACACACACTTCGACATGTATGGCAAACACTATAAGACACGTACCCACAGACTTATATACTCATGTGGACAGGAAGTTAAAGAGATGGATTATGTAATAGAGAAGAGTTATTCATGTAGCCAAGCCAGTCATATGCTGATGAGCAGAAATTCTGCATTTCAAGCAAAACCAGCTTAGTCTGCTGCTTCTGCTCCTTGTGATCGCAGTGACCCCGATAGGAATCTGTCACTGTAGTCTACCACTTGCGGCTCTGTGAACTGGGAAAAGACAGAGGATGCAGAAACCATGGCCTTGTGCCTTAGCTGTCCATGCAGTGTCTGCGCTTCTGGGGTAAGCCCTGGAGAGCTGGAGCTGGGAGCCAGGGAAGTGGGCTGTCTTGATTGGAAATGCAGGCTCTGGAATGAAGAGGGACAAAGGAGGTGCTGAATTATTTTTTCCAGGAATCCACGTTTGCTCTCAGTTACTTATGCCGTTCTTCATTTAATGAGAACACCCTAACGTTGGGGTTGGAGAAATCTGAGTGTCACAAACAGGCCTAATTTCCATTCTGTTTCCTGGACTTTCTGGTTCATCTCAGTCATTATGAAACTGTGAACACATCAGTTAACTTGTTTGGGGCTCCATTACCTGCTGCAAAATGACAGGATTAGGCCAATACTTTCTATGGGTCTTCCAGCTGTGACAATTTGATGCTCCTCTTCAGCAGAAATCCCTTCCTACATCTGAAAACATCTCAGCCCCAGAGCCATTTCCATCTTCTGTACATAGTTGGCAGTCAGTCTCTCACGTCACAGTGACAATACTTGGATATTGTCTCAGGTCACAGTGATCATATCCTGGGCATGATTATTTGAGCAACTTAAACTTTTAGAGATTATCATGTACAGTTTGGCTGTTCCTGCTATAAACTATGTTTTTTATGTGTTGAAACACTGGACTAGCTTGGTACTATTATAGGAAAGGTAGTCTGACTTTAGTCTGAAGACTGTTCATCATTTATCAGGATCATTAAGTTATGCTTTAAAGTTTTTATTTAGTCATTTCATAGGATGACTTGGAGAACACAAATATTCTTCTATACAGAGAGTTGCTCCTACCAGTGCTGACAGCATATACATTTGGCTTTTGTTTTTAAATGGATAATTCTATGGTTTCTTGTTAGGAGCCATTTCTCTTGCCTTTACACCTGTGGTCTGACTCAAACTACTGTTTTCTAAAGGACATGCAAACTGACCAAGTTCCGGAGGGCAGCTGTCTGTTTCATAAGGGAACATGGTGCTTTCACATAACTTTTCCAGCTACATGCAGTGCAGTAGGCAAGGATATCTTTCTGGATGCCTGTACGTGGTCTTGACCAATGTTTGACTATCTGTTTTTACCGAGTAAATTATAAACCACTGCGGAGGCTGAGCTGATGAGGAAGTGTTGCAATCAGACCCACCTTCTAAGGCTTTCCCTCCTTCAAACAGCTATCCTTGGTATCAGAGAGATATGAAGGTTCGTACTGCTGGTCACTTGGTAGGCAGAGGAATGAATGATGCATTTCATTCATGATTATTATTTTCTGAATTATTATTTTTTTACCATTGTTATGGATATAATCAGAATAGATTCTGAATAACAGAAAAGTAAAATTGTTTGCATTCTGGTTTCAAACAGCTCTCTGTGAGCAAGACCTGCAAGATATTTCATCAGAAACTGAAATCTAGGACCAAGTTCACATCCTGTGTAGGTCTGCTATAGAGATGATTTAATTTTAACTTCGATTTGTAAGTTTCAACCAAACTATTTTTGTGGGATCTATATATACTTCCTAAGGAGAGAAAATGATGCCTTTCAGTCACATAGCAAGCAATTTTGTAATTTAATGAGATGATTTTCACAATAGTTTGCATTTTGATAATATAGATGATGGCTTTTCCCTCAAGTAATAAGAAGATACCCTGTATTTTCTTTTCTTTTTTTATTTTAAATTTTTAAGTTCTGGGGTATGTGTGCAGGATGTGCAGGTTTGTTACATAGGTAAATGTGTGCCATGGTGGTTTGCTGCACCTGTCAACCCATCACCTAAGTATTAAGTCCAGCAGGCATTAGCTATTTTTCCTAACGCTCTCCCTCTGTCCCCCCACCTCCTCCCACCCCCCATCCCCCACCCCACCCCCCCCCCCCCCCCCCCCCCCCCCACCCCTACCCCCCCCCTCCCCTTTTACCCCCATCCCCCAACTCCCAACTTCCACCGACAGGCCCCAGTGTGTGTGATTCCCCTCCCTGTGTCCATGTGTTCTCATTGTTCAGCTCCCACTTTTAAGTGACAACACATGGTGCTTGGTTTTCTGTTCCTGAGTTAGTTTACTGAGGATAATGGCTTCCGGCTCCATCCATTAAAACAGTCCATAGAAGACCCTGGAATAGTCGCTTTCCAAGGCCAGGGTATTGTTATCAGCAGAGGTGGAGCTTTTACCTCTTCGGCATCCTGGGTGTTGGGGAGGAAGCGGTGAAGAGGAAGGTGGAAAGGTGCATGGAGTTACCTGCATGTCTCCACTTGTTGAGGTTGTGCGCCATTGGGACACCTCTTCATATCTGCTCTGAAGGTCGGCAGGCACTGATAGGAAAGACACAGCAGGGACATCTTCCTCCTCTTCCAATCAACTTGCCATCTTTCGCAGGTCACCTAGAACATTTCACTTTCTCCCCACGAGTAGCTTTGTGCCTGCCTACCTTCCACATGACTGTTAGATTAATACTGTTGGCCACAGTGTCACTGACCACTTATTCATCAGTGTATTCATTAAACTAAAAATTGAGCAACTGCTCTTTGCCACACTTCATAAATATTTTCATTTAAATGATTGTATCTCATTTTCACAACAGTTGTGTGCAGTACGTGGTATTATCTGTAGTCTATAGATGAAGTAGCATAATTTTTAAAAGAGTAAACAGTAAGTTGATACGAACATGTAGATAAATATGTAAACTTGCTCTGGTAATTAGAGAAATGTAAGTTAAAATCTCAAAGTACCACTTGTCACCCAAGTTTTTACAAGTTAAGATATTCACTACTCAAAAGAATGTGGTAAAACCAGTACCCTAAATATTTATACTATTATTTAAATTGGCTTAGAGAGACACAATGTGTTTTGTTTAGAGATAGTTTTTTACCAGGTTGCTGTTTCTTAGGGACTAATCCAAAATATGTTTTCAAAAAATAAAGATACAGGAAGGGCATGGAGGCTCATGCCTATAATTCCAGCACTTTGGGAGGCTGGACATTGAGGATCACTTGAGCCACAGGAGTTTGAGACCAGCCTGGGCAACACAGTGAGACCCTGTCTCTACAGAAAATTTAGAAAATGAAAAAAATCAACCAGGTGTGGTGGTGTGTGCCTGTAGTCCCACCTGCTCAGGAAGCTGATGTGGGAGGATTACTTGGGCCTGGGAGATTGAGGCTGCAGTGAGCCATGATCGTGCCACTGCACTCCAGCCTGGGTGACAAAGACTGAGGTCCTGTCTCAAAAATAAAAATAAGATACAGACATGCCCGTGTTAATAGTGGTGTTTTATTTATAATAATAGAATATTGGAAGCCGAATCATTGTCTAACAGTAGTACTGATTAATTTTACTTCACCTTCTTGATAGAAAAGTTTGCATCCATGAAAAATACTAAATGTGAAGACTATATGTACTAACACGGGAGAATGTGTACAATGTAAGTGAAAAATTCAGGTCGTAAAATTGTTTGCATATTCTTATTCACTATACAGTAAATCATATGTCTGAAGAAAGACTAGGAGAGCATGTCCGGAATGATCATTGGATTAGCAAGGAAAGATAAGAGTGATGTTTTTCCCTTTTTCCCTCTGTATTTACAAACTATGTGCTATGGTTGGTATATTCCTTTTTTGAAAAATGATATTTATTATCTCATGGTTTCTGTAGGGCAGGTGGATGTGTCTCAAGCATAAATGAGAACCCAGGGACCCTCTTAGCATCTTTCAAGGCTGCAGTCAAAGTGGCAGCTGGGCTGCATTCTCTTCAGGAAGTTTGAACGGGGAAGAATCTACTTCTAAGCACTTATCGTTGCTGGCAGAATTCAGCTGAGGGCCCCACATGTGGGCTGTTCACAGCATGGCATCCTGTTTCTTCAAGGCCAGCAGGAGTGCCTCTCTCCAGTTACAGAGTGTGGTGTATTACACTTTTAAATTGTTTTTTAAAACATCCTTTCCAGTGTCACATTACAAAGCAGTATTTTAACCTAGCACTTTTTATCACATCACAGTGATCCTTGTTGAGTAGTGGTTCTGGTGTAAGACAAGCTCACAGCTTGTGACCACAAGGATCATTATATGAACCGCAAGGATCATTATAACCACCTCACATAGTAATGAAGATACATTTATGGAAGGTTTACTATGTATTGGACACTGTTCAAAATTTTTAAGCTGTATTTACTCAAGTAAACCTTATTGCACTTGTTGCTACTTTTACCTTCATTTTACAGATGAGGAAATTGAGGCACAGAGCCTGAGAAA